GGTTACCACAGTCGACGGTGTCACTGGTGAATGATGGCATTAAATCTATCGGTTTGCTGAAAAGACAAGTGCGTTCCAGCTGCATCGCAGGCCATGAGGAGGCACCTTTCGAGGTTAGTGGCTGTCAATTTTAAGTGTGAGGCTTCTGTTTGAAGGATAAAGTAAGAACGACATTGTCTTCTATATCGATGCTGCTCATCTGATTTTTTCAAGCTTTAGAGAGGTCAGTGGACCGGACGCAACATCGACGGACGAAAGTTCTTCTTTAGCAACAGAGTAGTTGCAGCATGGAACGCCCTTCCCGAAGAGGTTGTCCTCTCCACCTGTGTTAATTCACTTAAGAGCAGACTGGACATGCACCAAATCTCAGCATGACATACCACCATGTAAAAACGATATTACATCACATTATACTACTCCTGATTGACGAGTATTTGTGTTTTTATTACTATTTGGACTACCTGACAGCTGTTGTGCCTTCCCCGGAACATGTTATTAACGCACTTTTCAATTTTTTCTTCTTATCCATATATTTCCTAGCATCTTGTTACCAAGAGGGAGTTCAAAGTCGTTCGCCTATCTGTCCCTCAATAAAGTGATACTGATACTCATTACCAAGAAGAACTCGAGTGTGGCAGTAATTTCAGCGGCAACACTAGAGTTGGGTATCACTACCTGATGGTGGCAAATAAGCCAGAAATGGCCATTGTAGTGTCCCATGTCTTTGTCGGCTATGTCTTTCTGCATATATAATATATATAATATGATATATGACATTACATTATGCATTACATATGTAATGTTGACAATGCTAAACAGGAATTAAAACAATGCTTAACACACGTTAAATCCCTGAGGCATGTCTGTCTTTTACAGTGCGCACTAAATATCTCCTACTGTAGACAACTGTCCATAGGGTAGCCGTTATCGGGTCGATCACTGTTTATGGTAAGTTATTGCGCGTTAAGAATATCGTACGCTATTCGTCTGGTGACAAATACTTAGTCTACGTTGGCTACGACAATATTAAGGACTACTTCCATTGCCCTCAGGATTCTTCATATCTTAAAGTTTTTCAAGTTAAGATAGGAACAAGAGTGAACACGTGCCCGTTGCCGTCGTATGTCCGGAAGTATTCATGCTTTCCAATGGACGATCACTACGTTCTCATGGAGATAAGCGAACGTTGGGACGTTGAAGACTAGCGTGGTTGACCGTAGGTTTGGCAGGTAGTAGGTAAGGTTCCATGTACATTTTGACTTTTATATGCAATTTTCCTAGCACAGATGCCTTTTATGATTCCATGAATAAAGACTAACACGCAGCTTCCACTTACGCTGGTAGTGACTTCTCCCCTATCTGGTTCCTGCTTTAACGGTAACCTGCAGTTAAACATACACTAAACGCGACCCTTTAATCTCAGCACCAGAATGTCTCAACATACTTCGCGAAAGAGTACACCTCAGAGAAGAAGGAGGCGCCCCCGGCCCTGGACGACTTTCACGAGAGAGACCTCCCTTTACCGTCATCTTCGTA